GCAGGAAGCCTCTGGCCTCTGCAGGCCAGTGGCCAACAGGATCACTCCCAGATTAAGCTGGGAAAACCCCTTTCAGTGCCTGTTGTCCCTTCTGCCACTCTTTTTCCACTCCACTGCTGTGCCTGCCTTGCATTGGCAATCCAAGCAGCCTTAACTCCAGTGTATCCCAGATGAGCAGCAGCAAACTGCCTCACTGTGCTCCTCCTCACACAGCATCCCCAGGCAAACCCACCCATCACTGGGAACCTTTTGGGGCTTTGCTTCATCCTCCTGAGTACTGAAAAAGCTGCAGATCAGGCTACAAAGCACCTGGTCTTCTCTTGCCTGGGACTGGCATGAAGGTTTACTGGTGGTTTTACAAGCTGGCTTTTGCTGGAAGGAAATTACTTTGTTTATGAAAAACAAATATGCCCCAAACATCTTGGATGTTGCATTTTAATGCCGACAAACAATGTATTTACACAGGGATTCTTATATAGCTTTAGGTATGTATTTATACACTTCCCTTTGTGCTACAGTTGTTACTGGCTGTGGAGGCTGTAGTGGGTTGGATCACACCAGATTTTCTCACTCATTCCTCAATGATTTTCAAGGCAGGGTCCTAAAATATGTGTTTCAACTCCCCCAGAGAGAGCTGATGGAGCCATATTCACCAGGAAATGCCCCTTTTCTGAAAATGCAGATAGGGCAACTCTTTGCAACATCTCAGAAATGCTTCCCAAATTTTGCCTTCCCTTTAACTTAATTGTTGAGCCCCAGTTTCTCACCAACAGTAAATTCCTCCCTACCCAGGCTGGAGAGCATTGTGTTTCTGCAGCCAACACCTCAAGGCCCCTCTCTCCTGTCTGCAGGCGCCCCACAGCCCTCCTGCACCCCTGCCCACAGGAACACTCCAGCCAGCCAGCTGCCTGCCCACAGCAAATTCCTGCCCCAGGGGTTACTTCCCTAACTTAAGAAATTACTGTCAGGACAAGGTATGTTTTCCCACACAGCTGCTGTTTACTTTGGCTGGTTTTGCAGGAGGCAGGCACTGCCTGGAGAGTAGCTGAGGTCCTTGATAAGGAGCATGGACAGTCTGGGAAGGCTGCAGTGGGCAGGAGGGGCAGCTCCCTCCCCCTTGCCATGACCTTGGTTCAGAGAGCTCCTGCAGGGACTCTGTGGACACAGGGATGAGAAACACAAGGTCCCCACGCTGGCCCTGCTGCTGACAGCAACCCGCAGCTCATTTACAGCCACAGGATTGTTTTCACGTTACAGAAACAGCACTGGTCTTTCTACCCCTAACCTTTATCTTTCCTGTATTTAACTTTCCCTATCACAGTGGTGCATCGTGCAGGTGCAGGGATCGGCTCACGAGGTGCATTTGTTGACTGGTCTCAGCCAAGGCAGAACCAAAACAAGCCAAGAGCTGGGGTGTATCTGCAATGTTTGCTCCTTCCAAAGAGCAGCCAGGGACGCAGCTGGGGGCTACCAACCCTCACTGTGGCTAAATCCTGCCTTGCCATGCCTGAGCCCTGGTGCAGCAGGGCATGGGCAAGGGGTTAGGCAGGGAAGAAGGCTGAAGCAGAGAGTACTGAAGAAGTTGGAAGTCGCAGGGCTGTGGATTGAACCTGTGTGTGTCAATGGGGTCAGGAAAGCGTTCATGATTAAGAGGGAAGTGTTAATGGATCATTAAACTTGCTGCTCAATCTGGGATGGAGTCAGCCTTGAAAAGCAGTTGTACAGGCAAACGTTAGAGAAAATCATACCCGTAACCTGTGCAGATGGAGTGATGCACTTCACCCTGCAGCAATGTTCATTGCCATAAAACGGTGATTTAACAAAGTTGGGCAGTCAATGGGGCAGTGGTTTAGCAAGATTTGATGGTGAGGTATGCTGGATTTTTTACTGCCTAGAGGAGAGGGTCAGGCACAACTGGGAGACCTTCCCCTGGGGTTCTGAGAAGGACCCTCCTGCTTTCTGATCTGCTTTTCAGAAAGGAGTCAAGGGGCAGCTGGATCCAGTCCTAGTCCCAGACTTGGGCAATGGTTTATGTCTAAAGGATTATGTGTGTGTCATCAAGGTAAGATATCACTGTAGCAGAGCTTACAATGCTTAGCAAGTGCTACTCACTTACTAAGGATCTTTACTGGGAGGGTGGTGATACACTGCCACAGGCTCCCCAGGGAAGTTGGTGCCCCAACCCTGGAAGTGCTCATGGCCAGGTTGGATGGGGTCTGAGCAACAGGGTCTAGTGAGACGTGTCCTTGCCCATGGTGGTGAGGTTGGAACTACATGATCTCTAAGATCCCTTCCAACACAAACTATTCTGTGATTCTATGATCTGTTGCTGCAAGGAACCTCTTAACCTCAAGGAGTAACCTCGAGAGACATCCCTACTCCAGGAGAGATCCTCTTGTGCAGCTGGTTGCCATGCAGGAGAGCTCCAATGACTTGGGCTGCTCGGAATTTGTGTGGATGAGATGCCTGACTCATAGTCAAGTTTGCATAGTGACCACTGCTACGAGTGTGTTCCAGGTTTCCTTGAGTCAGACACAGATCAACATCTGTGTGGGTTGCAGATATCTTTCAGGTGTAAGCTGAATGCTTTTTTTATAGCTATGCCTAGGTATGCTAAGTACACCTTCCGGTACACTTGCCTTGGTACGACTTAACTCATCTTTAGCCAGCTGGGGTATTAAATAGGTAGGAGTTGTAGCTTTTGAGGAGGGTGACGGGTCGTATGTACGTGCTCCAGGGCCAGTTTAAAGGTGGCTTTATTGTCCTTCTTTACTGCTAAATCCACCTTCCAGAGGTGGCTTCTCGCCTCTTTCCGTGCTTCTCTATTACAAAAAATGTAGCCCATTTCTTCCCCTCCATGGGCTATACCTTGACCTGTCTTGTTAGTGGGGGGCCGGTGTGCTCACTGCTGTTCTCACAGGGGAGGTGGACGGTGACAGCGGTATGTAGGCTGCCTTGGCAAGGAGTGGTCGGGTGTATCGTGGGTTATTGAATATAGAACAGGCTCCTCTAGGTGGGTTTGGGGCACTGCCAAGCCCTTAGAGTTTTAAGCCTTTGTGCTCGTAGTTCTCTGGCAAATTCTTTAGTGGGGAAAGTATCAAGATTTAGGGCTAGGCATAGTGGGGTATCTAATCCCAGTTTGTATTCTAGCTTTCGTGATGGTTAGTTAATCATTGGATTGTTTTCAGGTTGGTTTTGGGTGCATCACAGGCTTATGACAGCTCAGCTGCATTTTGATCTTAGTTGGGGTGATGGCAAGGGCTTTAGAGCAGGATGCTCTGGACAGAAGGACCTTCTATCCAAATCTGGGAGCAGACTGGCTCCACCACCTTTGTGGGACAGTGCTTCATGGACTGCTGTGGGAAGGAGACCCTGGAGACCACCTGGCTCCTGCAGGAAGAGGTTCCATCCCACAGGGATGCCTGGAAATCCACCAAGTGAGCCCTGCTCTCCCACCCCACAGCCCTGCCTTCCCTCCTGCTGACACAGCTGGGAGTGTGGCAGAGCAAGGCATCTTGGGCTGCGATCGTGGGTGTTCCTGATGCCTGCTCCTCAGGTCTCAGTAAGATCCTGAGGGCATTTACACTGGGGTGCAGATACTTGCATGTGTCTGTTTAGCAAGAATTAACGGTAAGGTTAGGACTAAGTCTTTTGCTCTTGGGTGCAGGGCGGCCACCATCTTGTCAACCTCAGTGCCATGCTTTGATCAAGCTACAGGGACAGTTTGTTGTTGGTTGTTTGTTGTTGGTCATGGGTGTGTGAGTTTGTTCTAGTGGAGTTGCCTTAGTAGGATGACACTGGCTGGCATGGGAAGGTTGCATCCAGGGCAGCCTGTCCTTCCTGGGTAACATTGTTCTGCCCAGGCAGATGCAGGAACACTCCCCAGGAGCAAAGAAAAACCCATTGATCACCCTCTGGCAGCACCAGGCCATCCTGCGAC